GATTCTATGATTTTACAAATCTGAAGCGTAGCAGAAGGTGTTACCAAAAGGAGAAAACCCTTGTGCAAGGTTCTGAGGACCTACATGTGAGCTGCAGGGACCAAGGACTCTGTGCCCAAAAAGGTGAGTGCAGGTGGAGACTGGCACAAGGACAACTCATCATTCCCAGCATCCTCAGCTGTGGAAATGGAGTTGAGGTGGCCAAACGTGACAGCACAGAGCTGGAGAGGGGAAGGAGCCCTTCGCAAAGGGAAATATAAGTTACAGGACAGAGAGCAAATGGGGGGAAAAAATGGGTGGAATGGGCTGAAAAACAGAACCCAAGCAGCATCCCTGTGCTATTTGGGTTTAGAACCCCTGTGAGAGCAGTGATTCCCCACAGCAACAACTTTAACTGCTCAGAAAAGCAGCAGAAAAGCGATTTTTTATAAAATACATACAGGAGGATATGATTGTAAAAACACAGTGATTGTAAAGCAAATTGCAGTCACTACACACGACACCATCCCTCTCCCAAAGGCTTCATCGCCCCCCAAAAAAACAAGACTGCACTTATCTTTAGAAAGTCAGCACAAAATCATGTTTTCTGACAAATACACTGCTTTTTTTTTTTTTTTTTTCTACTTGAAAAGAAGACCAGAACAGCCGTGCTAACTGGGGGTTGGTTTCTTCCATGAGTTGTAAAATCCAGCCCTGGGGATAGAAGTTACCTTCGCTGTAAAAACAATCCACCGACTGGATTTCACAATCTTTGTCGTCTTTCTCTCCCCACAGCAATATTTTTACAGTGTTTGCCCTCAAACCAGTTTTTCATCAGCCGACATGTGTAATTACCACCAGACAGGTTTTGGATAACCCATCCCCTGGTGCAGTTTTTCCTCCCACCCTCATGCCGCACAGCCGCTAACCTACCCAATCTAGCCTCTTCCAGAGGGTTTGAAAGCTGAATTTTGAAAGCTGAATTTTGAAAGCTTCCAGAGCTTTGAAAGCTGAATTTGACCTCTTTTCGACCTCAAAATTTTAAATTTCGGAAAAAAAATGTCAGTTTAAAATTTTTTCCTGAGCTTGAAGGGTGCTAATCCTTGGAATTGTTCAAGGTCATGTTGAACGGTGCTTGGAGCAACCTGGTCTAGGGGAAGATGTCCCTGCCCATGGCAGGGGGGTGAAATATGATGAACTTTAAGGCCCCTTCAAACTCCATTCAGGTATTCCATGATTTTATGATCAAGGCAAGGGGTAGTAAATGCTGATCAGGATTTATTTTGGGTTTTACCACACGGACAAAGGAAGTGCCAGCGACAGATAATTTCGCTGTGGTTGACAGAAGGGCCCTGGGGAACCCCCAGCTCTGCTGTTACCTGACCACAGCACACCAGGCTGATGCTGCTCTCATCTCACCTGTGCATGGCAGGTGAGCGGCTCCAGCTCCTGCACAGCTGATGCCAGAGCATAGGACTCTGTGCCAAAAAAGCCAAGGCTCCTCCAGAGATCACAATTATTATTTTCAGAGGTAAGAGGGCACAACTCATTCCCCATCTCCACCCCCAGGACAACAAGCCTGAAGGAAATCCTCCCCGGTGCGGGCGTGAAGCAAGAGCAGATAGGATTTGTCCCTTGGATTGGTAAACCTGGGGCCTCCACCTGTATCTTCAACACCCCCCAAATAAAACCCAGGCTTGGTGCTGCTGGTAGATGTGTGGAAATAGTCTCCATAATCACCCATTTGGATTTTGCATTGGTCCTTGGTGCCATGGAACCCCATAGACTATTTTCTTGGCCTGCCCTTGGCAGGCGGACAGAAGCAGATTGTCTTTGAGGTCTCTTCCAACCCGAACCATTCTGGCATTCCATGATTCTATAACCCCTCACGCTCATGGAGACCCTCACTGCAGCCCAGTTCCTTGGACAGCTGTATCCACCACTCCTCCATCAGCTGCAGAGGCTGCAGGGAGCTGCTCCAAGACCTGGTTTCTTCTCACAGCTCCATCACCAGTGACTGACGTGGGGGCACCACCAGCACCAGCAAGGGCCTGTCTGCCCAGCCACAGCTTCACACAATCACAGAATCATTGGAAAAGCCCTCCAAGACCATGGAGTCCAACCTATGCCCAACTCCCACCTTGTCCCAGAGCAGTCGGTGCCACATCCAGTCGTTCCTTGGACACTGACAGGGATGGGGACTCCACCACCTCCCTGGGCAGCCCCTTCCAATGCCTAATGACCCTCTCCAGCGAGAAATTCCTCCTGATGTTCAGCTGAAGTCTTGGCTTCACTTGTTGTTATGTATTTGGACATCAAGAATGATACGTGTGGGGCCAGAAATGCTGATGCATTTTCCTCTGGCAGGGCTGGAAGAAGAGGAGCAGAGGCTGAAGCCAGGCCAGGACCATGGTAGGGGTGATTTCTCCCATCAGACCTTCACCATCTCCTGGCATCACTTTCCCCAGAGTGGAAACTTCTGACGGGAAAGCTCTAGGGGGAAGTTATTGAGAAGGTCTGAGCTAATAAAATCCAAACAATTTGTTTAAATGTTATTGCTACAGCAACGCAGCATACATCGAAACAAAACGCTTTGTTTGGTGAAAAAACTGGCACGATTTAGGACAGAATGGAATTCTGAAATGTCACTACTTCTCTTGAGAGGGACTTCGTGTTTTTTTCCCATTAACTCCGTGGCACGGCCACGACTGGTGGGAAATGGCTTTGATCTGGCATGGGATGAGGCATCAGCTGAGCATCCCATCCACCAAGGCTTTGCCCTTTCCAACAGCACTTAAGCCCCCTCAAAGGCTGCAGCTCTGAGGGGAGCAGTGCCTCGGTAAGGGAGGGAGAGCCAAACTTCCCTATAAAGGCTCCACTTCTGTCCTCGAGACACCATGCTCATCTGTGACAGCAAGGATAACCACAGGACTCTCCAAGAGGTGCAAGCAGTGTAGGCATCCTGTAAGTGTTTAAATCAATAAAATATAACCCAGGTATTCAAGTACGTGACATTTTTTTTTGCAGAAATCTGTCTCCAGGAATTCAGAGAAGTCCTGAGGAGTAGGACAGACATCAAGCTAAGCTCAGCAGTCATATCTACGTAGTCACACAAGTCTCCAGTTTCATAGTTAAGGATCACAACACAGGACCCGAAAGGAGGAGGGGATACATTCCTGTAATGTGCATTACTGTTTTACTATCAATGTTCTTCTCGGATCCCATGCAATAATCATTGAAGCTACAGTTCAGCTGGCGAACACAGCAGCAATGCTGTTACGTTAAGGTTACTTATCTTTGTTACCCATTCTGCCACCAGCACAAGCATTTAAAAGCTCCCCTAATATCCAGTGCAGGAGTGGAGATGCTGGAAGAGGAGAACACGCTGCATCCTGGCTATTTGCAGGTCTGCCGTGTTTTAGGGAAGCTGAGCAAACTTACTGTGATCCATAGGGTTTCTTTATTTGCTGCTGTCTGGGTTTTTGGCAGTCATGAGGAATTCACAGAAATATTCCTGCATCTTGAAAGCTTCAGCTCTGTAGCGGTGCCCATCCATCTGCTCCAAATTTTCGGTTACTGCAGGTTATTTTCTCATTTAATGTGTCTTGGTGGTCCCAGGGGCCCAGGGATCATCTCTGCTCTTGGCTTCACTGCTTCCAGCCCAACTCCATTGATGATAAACTCCTTCCAGAGCTGGTCCAGATGCCCAAAACCCTAATTTGGTTGAGCAGGCCAAACTCCAGCTCTAGCAAAACCTGGAGCTGTAGGGTCTGGCTCTAGATGGGGGCTCACGACAGGGAGGTTTAGGGATGGCTCCTTGGAAAGGGTGGCACATGGTCACGTATGGTATGTCCTAGAGTCATAGAATGGTCAGGGTTGGAAGGCACCTCAAAGCTCACCCAGTTCCACCCCCTGCCACAGGCAGGGACACCTTCCACCAGACCCAGGGTGCTCTAAGTCCCGTCCAACCAGGCTTTCAGCACTTCCAGGGATGGGGCATCCACAGCTTCTCTGGGCAACCTGTGCCAGGCCCTCACCACACTCACAGGCAATATCCCATCTAAGCTCTGAATGATCCCAAATTCAGATTTCTCAGGCTCAGTTTCAACCCTTAAAGAGGTGGGATTAGGTGAGGGTTCCAGGGAATGGACACCATGCTGGAGTCAAGACAACTTGGCCAACGATGGGGATTTCTCCCATAGCCCTGCTCTCTGGAGTAAACATATTGCATCTGGGAGGGCCTGGCCCCCAGGGAAGTTGGACATCTGAGATGCTTAGCTCTGTCCTGTGAGCCCATTATTTGAGTGAGAAGATGCTCTGGCATTAGGGAAATTGCTCTCAAGAGAGAGCATGGGGATTAGTGCTGGGGAGGAACATGAATTTCCCTGCAGGATCCTGGTGTCAATATCACTCCTTGTTTCACCTTCCACCTCTTTTTGCCCCTCTATGTCCCATCCTCTAGCCAGGACAAATTGCAGGCTAACACATACACTTCAGTTAGCCAAAAATTAACTGGCTTGGGCTAGACAGGGGTTTTCCAGGGGAGACATCCGAATAAAACCTTTTAAAAAGACTGTTTTTAACAGGCAGCCGTGGCTTGCAAGTAGCATTGGGTGAAACGGATGTGATAAATCAGTGAGGCGGGGTCCTGCAGAGACCTGCAGACTCAGCTGAGGTAGGGCACAAATAGATGGGAGGCAAAGCCAGGAGAGTGGCCCAATCCATCACTCGTGGACCTCTGAGCCCTTTGCTCACGTGGGCTTTATCCTCACCCCCGTGAGAAGCGATGGGGAGCAAGAGGTGCAGCAGGATGTGACCCAGCCCCAGGAGCACAGGCTGAGCCATCCCCACAGAGCACTCCCAAGCTGTATTTCCAAGCAGACACCATGAGGGATAACCTTCTCCCCGCTCCCCCTTCCCCTCCCCCCCCAACATTCCTTTTCCTCCATCCCGAACAAAGGGACGTTCCCTCCCAGACCAGCAGAAGCGATAGCGTGTACCCACAAAGAGATGGGGAAATGTCAAGCTTTAAACATTTATTACTCAGATGATGCATTTTATAGCATACAGTGGCTCTGGATGTTCTATAAACAAAGACTGAATTGCCACAAAGAGTTATTAGCTCCCTTGTTTTAACAGTCTCTGAAATGCTGAAAACGATGAGTTTGTGATTTCTCTAGTATGAATATCTAGTCTTTATTCTCCCCAAAACCTTTTTGCTTTTTTTTTTTAATATTTTTTAAAATTTTTTTTTCTTAAAGCGCTTAGTTTAACAAATATGATTAAATTAAAAATGTTGCTTTTTCAAATGCAAATAAATACATTAAAAAAAAAAAATTGCTAGCGTTAACTCCGTGTTCTGCAGGACACCGCAGCTCCCTTGGCTATTGACAGTGGACTTTGCAACCCTTAGTATAGTTTCTCCTGAAAGAATACTGAAAATATCACCATGACTGTCTAATAGCTAACGCCAAGAAGTGTAAAATTAGTGTAAAGCCATAAAATACCCAGCGGGGAAATTAAAAAATAACAACAAAAATCATATTTAAGATTTTGAGAGATTTCCAAGTGAGGGATGTTATAAAAATAAGCATGAAAATAAATCATAAGTTATTCTGACAAGTTTTCTTTCAAAGCCATCAATCATGCTAAGAATAGATACTCATTAATCTCCTTCGAGGGAAGAGGGGAACCAAGCAAATCACTTACTTTTCCTTTCTTTTCCCCCACTTCTGTTTCACCTCCCTATACACGAGACTTCTCCAAACAAGGGCGAAAGCCCTCATGGGGATACCAAGCAAGTCACTTTGTGGGTAGTAGCAAAAACCGTCAGTTTGGAAAGAATTTCACCAGGAATGAGGTGAACTAGATGCTGGGGAATCTGGCAGGGAGTCAGAAAACCTGCTCGGCATCCGAGGGAAAGGGGCATGGCCGTGGTGTGGACCATCACTCCCCGCAGAGGCTTCAGCCCCTCGCTTTTGCACCAACCCGAGGTTTGGCCCCGCACATATTTGGCCCGAGGAGGTTATTTCCCCCCTTTGCTGATGTGGCCAGATGGGGACAACGCAGCAAACCCCCACACAGACACTTTTTACTGAGCAGCAAAGGTGGAATCTGGCTAATCTGGGGAAGATGTGTGGCTGGTGGCTTTGCACCTAAAAACACACATAAGAGAGAATTACGCTCTTTGGCGACCGTTTCTACAGAAAGACAAAAAAAAAAAAAAAAAAAGAGAAGAAAACACTCTAGGATCCCCAGGTGCTCACCAGACATCCCAAAAAATTCCCCAGCGTTGCTCCTCATCAAATGTCCTCGTGGTGCCTCTTCTCCCAACGCGGTACCCTGGTGAATGATGCCACGTGCCTGCCAGCTTCCTACAGATGGCCTTCGGAAAGAAACCATTGGCAGCATGTAATTTTGGGGAAAAAAAAAACCATTTTTTGGTCAACATTTTTACTCTCGGATATCCACAGAGTGACTGATGTACCAAAGCAGTTAATGGCTGGACAAACCCATGTTAATAGCAGAGATAAATGGCAAGACACTAAAACCAAACAGACTCCACAAAGAAGTTCTTCGTTGGGAAAAATCCCAGTGTTGGAAGGGAAAGTCATGGGCCAAGCCTGGTCAGTGGGGTTTGCAGGATTGCCCTGCAGTGGGAAAATTGAATAAACCCTCACAGCAGGCAGGGGTAGGGAAATGCTTTAGCAGAAATACTGCCTCGTGGCTTACACTTTGACTCTGAATGCCTCCCGATGCACTGATGAAAATTCAAGTTTTTAGAAACAAAATCCCCAAGTCTCTGGATTTTTTTTCTTTTTTTTTTTTTTTTTTTTTTTTTTTTTTTTTTTTTTTTTTTTTTTTTTTTTTTTTTTTTTTTTTTTTTTTTCTTCTTTCACTACATCCCGAGAAAAAATTCTGGGGGATGTGAGAAGCTGCAAGGGTCGGAGTGGTGGTCTGGATCTCTGCTGGCAGGATCCCTGGCACCCCGACCCATCAGGCTGCGTCCCTGTTAAGGGACTTTTCTCCTCGGTAAAAAATAAAAAAAAAAATGAAGACAAAACTGGTTTTTAGGTCTTCTCCCAGAAGACTGATGCTGTGCCTGAGCACACTGCGATGGGTGTTATATCCCCTTCTACTCCACTCCCTGAGAACTCAGGGAGCAGAAAAAAACAAAGAGCAATGGGCACAACCCTGAGCCTTGTAATACTGATGGGCTTTGCTGCCTTAATGAAGTTCATCTGCTCATTAATACTCTCAAACCCCATTGCTACTAATGAAGCTGACCCAACGCAAGGCGTCCGTCACCACGCAAAGTTCCTGGGCTCAAATCCATGAAGTAAAACTTCGTTTTTCCAGACACTTCCAGTGCACTCAGAAATCATGCCGCTGCTTTCTGAGTAGAGAGGAAAACTGAAGCTCCCGTTTTCAGCTTGCTTCTCTTGCTCCATGTGCGGAATAAAAACTGGATCAGCAGACAACCAGATGAGGATCCAAATAACACTGAACTCCAGCATCACGACTCCCGCCTCCTGAAATGCATTTTCTGCTGAAAACTTCTGCCCTTTGAATTTTGCAGCAAAAGCTTCCTCCCCATCACGGACAGACCAACACATTCATAAGGCACCCAAGAACATACTGCACATCCAAAGAGGTCGGGGTGAAATCTGTCTTCTCCACAAGCCACCAGAAATTCAACGTCTTCCTCGGAAAAATGGGTTTGAGCTGCTGCGTTCAGACCCAGCCTGCCTGGTCCGGGGTCCAAGCGCGCCGTCATCGCAGCAGAAGTTCTCTTATCACAGTAAAGTAAATTGAATAATGGGAAAAAACAGGATGGGCTGCCGGCATCGTGCCTTCCTTGGCTCCTCATCTGCTGTGCAGATGGGATGGGGCAGCTTGCACCCTCATTAGGCTTCACTAAAATAAGCACCTGGAGGGATTTAGTAAGTCAAAGTGTTGACAGATGAGAAAATAAGGAGACAACCAAATCTTCTTCACAATTCGGGGAGTGATGCAGCGGCGTGGTGTTCCTCCGGACCAGCCTCCTCACCCCCTGGGCATTTCCTCACCCAGGTAGCATCTCAACATCATCCCCTGCAGCCACCCTCTCCCTTGGGATGCTCCAGCACGGAGCAATGAGGGGATCCTGGAGCAACCTGGGGATCCCCGAGCAAACTCTGCCTCTTTGAAAATGTCACCCATCCCTCAATGACATGGTGCCACTTACACTGACCACGGGACACAGCTTCTCCTGCACACTGCACACCTAGGAACACTGGATAGCATATTCAGCTAGTTAGAAGCCAGGCTCAAAACTTCTATTTTTGGCTTAATCTATTTTCTTTCCTCTTCTTTTTTTTCACTCTTTTGTTTTGCCATACATTGTTTGTCTTCTCTTTTACCAGTCTCCAAAGAAGAACATCAAACCTTCATTTCTCCCTCGTCCTGTACATTATTAGGCCCAACTATAACAGGCCTGGATTTAAATGCATAATTACAACCATGACAGTAATTACAATAAAGCACTCCTTCAATGGAAACAAAAAAAAGTATTACAAAAGAAAAAGGGTTATAGTGGCTGAGGAATAACGGCAACTTGAACAGCAAGAGCCGCAGAATCCCCTTTTTTTAGAGCCCCCAGCTCAGAGAACACATTTCTCAATCCACCAAAGAGGTTACTGGCAAGATGACAGTGGCTATGTAACTTCTGCAGTGGCTTTTGGACTCGTTTAAAACACTCCTTCTGCTTCAGCATCTTCACATAAACCATTAGCCAGCTCGTGGGAAGGCATTGCTCCACGCGCCTCCGAGCTGCTCGCAATTGTCCGTCGGACGTCACAATAAAATAAGAAGAAATTACAAATGCTCGGAGAGAAAGAAAAGCCAGTGCAAATGAGAAAGTCGTCCCGCTCTCCGATCTGCTCCCGAAGGGGTGGCGGGTAGGTGGGGGGGACACACAGAAAGTTGAAAACAAGAGAAGGAGGGGGGGGGGAACCTAACGCAAGCCCCGCTAGACAAAAGCCATCAATTATGAGCGTCTGGTGTAGTGTGTGTCTGGCTTTGTCCTCCCGAGACATCTGCTGCTTGCTGTCTCCTGCCAGTTGGCCAGGGCAAGGCAGGAGGACGGCGTGAAAACAATGCTAGCCCCCACTTGGATTATGTGTTGTGTTTTTTTTGTTTTTTTTTTTTTTTTTTCTTTTCCAAATTCCGTGTCCTCTTTTCGAAAGCCAAACAATAACCCGGCGGGATGCGCTGCTGCCGCTTGAGCAATGAGTTCAGAAAAGAAACCCCCTAAAAACAAAACCACGGCAGGGAGGAGGGGGTGGCACTTGGCGGCGCGGCTGCAAAAGAAACATGCTTCTCCCTCCCCGCCCCACAAACGTATTCTCGAGCATGCTTGGGTTTGGTCTGCTGGGGGGATTTAAATCGGAAAAGCTCTTGCCGGATCCCATCGAGGCGCGTGTCTTCTCCTCGTCCCTTCCCACCCCACCTCGCCCTTGCCCCCTCAAGCTGTCAGTTTTTGGATGGTCTTGTTGTAGTACTGCGTGATGGTGGGCGTCAGGGGGTTCCAGTTGTTGGCGTGCAGCTCGATGACCTCCAGCAGCAGGGACCTCGTCAGCATGGACTCGGAGGGGCACAGCATCTTGTCGCGTGCGATCGCCAGGAGCTCCGTCATCATCTCGGGCAGCTGCTCCTCCAGCAGCCGGCCAGTGCTCTGCAGCTGTTGGGAGAAGAAGGGGTCACTCGTGGATTATTGATCCCTGCGACATCCCTTCCCAGCTCGAGGCAGTCAGTGATTCTATCCCCCTGTCACGCTGAAACACCCCCAACTGCCTTTTACAGACGCCTCCCGTCCCTCCAGTTCTCCGCCCGCGTGGTGCAGGCAAGGTTTAAAGGCGTCGTGGCTTTTTGAAAACCAAAAAAAAACCACCCAGCAGCAGCAGGCCCCAAGAGCTGAGCACGAAGGGCGAGGTTTTCAAAAGCATCAGCGCTGGGCTGCTGAAGGAGCGTATGGTTCAGCTCCCACTGACTTCAAAGGCGGCAACGCTGGATCTCTTTTGCAAAAAGAAAAAAAAAAGAAAAAAGAAAAAAAAATCCCACCTAAAAATCACGCTATTGTCAAAACAAAGTGCAGGCTGTGATGTGGTATTCCTGCCTTCTACCTGGCCCTTCATTTACTCGCTGATTCACAGCTCCCAGTGACTCCCAGTCATTAGCTGGAATAAGCAGAACACTCCTGTGTGCATAACAAATCCTGCTCCGCTGAGATCTGCATTTATACCTGTTGTGCAGCTTTGCTGAGGACAGCCAAAGGCTTTTTCTGAAACAACTACTCCTTGAAGAGCCTCTATAAAGCAGCATAAGCCTTAGGTGGATCCACAGAGAAGGTCCAAGCTTGGGGTGGACAGTGGTGAGTCCCCCAGCATGGAAGGCTCCCCAAAGCAGAGCTCCCCAAGGTCTTCACCTTAAAAAGTCAAACCCTTCTCCCAGGCTGCCTGTTGCTTTGCTGAATTTTAACCATTCAGGCTGCAATTTCAACTGCTCTCTGCAAGGAAAGCATCTATCCCCATGGGCCAATCACTTCCCAAAAAAGTAACTAATGAAACTCAGCTATATTGGTACCAGCATTTCTCTGAGAAACTGCTTTTGAGCAGCACAAACCTCTCATGTGAGCCACAGGACACCTTTTACTCCAATACAGGTGTTTCTGTGCTGAAAAAAATCAATGGAAGGTGAGATTTGGAGGAACTTCATCGACCTGCTGGAGCTCTTTGTCCCCGCTCTTTGCAGAGGGGTGTTGGACGAAATGACCTTTAAAGATATCTTCCAACCCAAACCATCCTGTCATTCCATAATGCAAAGAAGCAACACAGCTGTTTGGGTCTGTGCACATCTAAGAGCTGCTTCACACACGCATGGCCAAGGACAGAAGGGGCAAAGCAACGAGGATTAGGGCAGATGTGCAGGTGCCTCCCTACCTCCATGGAGCAGCAGAGCACGGCGTCTTCTTTCACATCCTGAGATTGCAACAACTGCAAAAGAGAGAAGAGAGAAGCAGTGAGAAATCCATGACCTCGTCCTCCTCTTCCTCCTCTTCCTCTTCCTCGCATCTCCTCATCCAGCTTGGCTTTTGAAACTTCCGGGAGGAAAGGATAGAAAATCAAAAAGAGGGAAGCAAAAGTTTCAGGTAAACAGCAACAAAACACCGGATAAAATTTAGACTAACAGCTCTCATAATGAATTTTGTTCAGGTTACAATGCTTTGTTTTATCCCATGGCAGGCAACAAGAAAGCACACTCATTTTGCAGACAGAGTGACTAAATGCAACCATCAGCCAACAACACTGGAGCTGCACAGACCTGGGAGCAGCTTTTTGGATGGGAACAGCTCTGCCCAAGAGGCAAAACCACCCACCACCAAACCTCCCCATCCCCCTGGGGACACTTTGGAGAGCCACAAAATTACCTGATGGGAAAGTGTTACATCCAATACACCCTAATTAATATGGCATCTTCTAGGCTGATTATACAGCGGTGCAGGTGCAATGGGTGCCAACGAAACTACGGAGTTCCAGGTGCACCAACTCCAACCCTGCTCTCCACGAACTCTGTGTCACAAGCATGAGCTCACAAGCAGGAGCAACTTTCAAGAAAGACCCAAAATGTTGCTGGGCATGGCATTGGACGGTGCAGGGAGATGCTCATCCCACTTGGTTCAGACTCAGGACGTGCAGTGAGGGTCAATGTCTTTACCTGACGGTGGCAAAGTGTGGGAGCTCAGCATGTCCCACCCCACAAACCTTGAAAATGTGAGCAAGGACCCTTGAAACTGTGAGCAAGGACCCTTGAAACAGGAGCAAAAATACACTTTTTCCTTTGTTTCCATCTTTATGATAATTACAAGTACTGGAAACACTCAAAAGCCGTGGCCACTTCCATCCCATCGCTTTGGGATGAGCAATGTCTGATAGCTCCAAGCTAATCCCCGCACGCAGTGGGGAGCTGAGTGCATGCACTAAGCACTGAATAAAAAGGAGAAAAAAAAGGAAAATTGGCTTCATTAGTATCTGACATTCATTAGGGAAAGGCAAACTTTGGAAAAAGGGTTGAACTGATTAAAACTGCCCTTATAAAAATCGCTCAGCATAACTGAATGCGCTCCAAAGTCACATCCTTTTTTCTAAAATCAGAATTGTGCCTTGACAATTGTGCCTTCTCAGCCTTATCATCTCTCCTTCCCACTCTTGTTTTTCTGTGTTTCCTTTCCTTTACAAATAAACGCCTGTTTGTTTACCAGCTCCACAAAGGCTGGAAAACAGCTAGGGAAAAAAAGAGGTAATGCAAGGAATTATCATTGCTCTCAAGAGTTTTGTCTTCAGCCTCGCTTGCATTCGGCAGAGAGCAGTTGGTTCACTTTGAAGATGATGTTTACAGCATCTCCATGAGCACGTTGTCCATTGGTTTTATCTCACGCTAGCCAAAGGTTCAGCCAGGGTTTTCGAGTCGTGCAACAGTGTTTTTCCTCCTTCTTCCCCTCCCCTGCCCCAGTTTATCTTTCTGCTGAGTTGTTTGGAAAATGTTAGTTAAGCCCAAGCCGCGTGCTCTGAGATAAGTTCTCACAAACAGTTCACAGATTCTTCACAAAAAACCACCCATGAGATTACTTTAAACCCAGCACTATCAAGGGAAGAAAAAAAAAAAAAAAAGGGAAGAAAAATAAATTAGGGAAAAATATAAACACGAATAGTTCAGAAATTCCCTCCTGGGGTATATAGCTCACATATGTGGCATGAAGTACGGCCACAAATAAAACACATATTCACCTTTCTTATTCTTGCTATTCTTTAGTAAAGAACATAACATGAAAGCTCGAGCATGAAAATGGACTTGGGATTGATTAAGAAGGTCCAGCTCCAGACCTTCTTCCGCTGTGGTCCCCTCAGTGGCCCTGCTCTCTGCCCAGGACATGTGGAAAAGATGCAACTTCACTTGGGCTTTCCTTGATCCAGCTTCCCAGGTGTTTGTGAGGATGAATATGTCACTGTCAAGCATTCAGATATTTGGCTAGTGAGCAGCAGCCTTACCTACCTGTGATGAAACTGAACATATCCTACCCCCAGCCTTGGGCAGGGACCCTCTAACTTCATGCTCGCCCTCCTGGACCTCACCTGATGTGACCTGGATGAACAGGGAGAATGCACATGCTCCATCTCATCCACCAGGGTACCATTTACTCTGCCTTGTCCATGGAAACACCATGTGCACCACCTTGTCCACCCAGGATGCCCTCCACTGCCCCATCCAGGCACCACACGCTCCATCGCTCCATTCAGGCACTGTTTGCCCCACCTCGCTCATCCAAGGCACCATGTGCTTCACTGCTCCACCCAGGCACCAAGAGATACCAGTCCCAAGCGCCACAGGTGAGCCTCTGCCTCTGACATGAAACTGGGGAGGCTGACAACCTGCCCACCAAGCCCAGGCACAGCCCCTGTGCAGCAGAGCAGGGCCCACCAGTCAGATCTGGGGAACAAGAGTCCAAACTCATGGCCACAGACGGTTGTCAGCCACCTGCATCAGTGCAACAGACTGAAGACCAGAGGATCAGAAAGGTGTCCCTGTTCCTCTGCCTGTTCCTGGTCATGTTTGTAGCATGCCGGGGTGCAGGCACTAACAATCTGTTGCTGACCCCTGCATGATGGGGCAGGAGGAAGCCTGGCGCTGGCACTGAGGCTTGCTGACTGCAAGGATCATGCTGCCTGGAGTTGCTACCATCAGCCTCTTTACCCATCCATGACGACTTCCATGTATTCCTCAAAGGGTGTTCCATCCCCACCCAGTGTGCCCCATGGGAGCACCACGCCACCCCAAAAAGCACCTGGGAGGCTGCTCCAGCAAGAGCACAGCATTTCCCAAAGCTCTCTGATCCCTGAGTCAGCCCTGATGGGGACTGCAAGAAAAAATATGGTGTCAGTGGTTCGAGAGCTCCAGCGAAACCACAGCCCTGAAGTCCTGGTACTTGTGTGACCACCCAGCCAACTGCATCCATCATTCACAACCTAATTCATATTTACTTACAATATTTTAAGGTAAACCCACTGTAGCCATTAAATTAGCACTCCCACATCGGAATCATTATTTATTTAATCATTTATAGCTGCTCCTCCCTGCTGCATGCCTCTGCCCAGCTCCCACCACGGGCACCATCCCTTCCCTCTTCACCAGGCTCCCACATGGTTCAAACTGGCCAGCAAACGTGGACAAGGGATTTGAAAAAGGAGCATGAGGCAGACAACAGGACAGGTGAGCTGAGACTCACACGCTTCTCGGTTTAACCTGTAATCATCCCCCCGGGGGGGTTGGGGTTGTCTGAGAGAAAAACTTCCCTTTGCTCTCCAGCCGGTTTCCCCCGTACGGGGCGAAGCCGGGCAATGAAAGCAGCAGTTCCTGCTGGAAAGCAGACAAAGAGTCTGCTTGATTTCCTAAGAGAAGAGGCTGCATGCCAGAATCTGCCCGGCCAGTCATATAATACCCAGCCTTGGTTGCGAAAGGCTTCTCACTTCTGTTTCTGGTGCTGGACTGGCTGCTCTGCAGACTGGTGGAAGATACCGGGCGCCTTCCCTTCTGAATTTCTGGGTCATGCTGAGAGATGAACAACAGGCAAGGTCCTCTGCAGGGTCAGTGTGGCGGGCTTAGGGTACTAAATATTTGCATAAGCAACCCAAAATAAATGTTAGGGTCTTCTCCTAGAAGTGCCATGTGTGGTGGGGGAGTTGCAGTGCCTTGCAGGGTGGCTCTTGAGTGCGACTGGTTTCCATGACACGCTACTGGGACCCACCTTCCCTGGCCTCCACGGACTCAAAACCTGCCCTTTACATCTTTGCAGAGGTAAGCATCATAAGCCACATGGGGTGGGCACGCAGTGGTAGTTGAAGGACCAAAGAAGCCCCAGAACTGCAGCTGTGCCTCATCAGAGACAGAATCAGTTTGGTCCCCCTGAACAACAATGGAAGCACGCGCACGAGGTGCAGACCACCAGGAGCAAACCAGAGAGCTGAGCTGATGGGACTCACCCCAAATATTTGGGTTTATTATCTGCTTTCTGAGATCATCTGGGCTGCAGAGAAGCTGAAGTGCTTACTTGGTATTCTCAGGGGTGCCCACATCGCAAGGGGGACAGCAGAACCTGCCCCGCCACCCCTTATCACCAAACCACACAGGTTCAGCTGTGTTCTTCAGCAATTCCCCCCAGGAGACGGGGTGGGAGCAGCCCAACGCATACATTACCCTTTCCAGCTGCAGTGATACTTCTCCTGCACAGCACAGCACTAATTACTGTGTATGATATCGCTTGCAAAACGACACATAAGTGACGCTTGCCACTAACCACTCCTCAGAACGCAACGTTTTCTGATGCTTCGGTGATGACTCCAGCGTGAGAGCACGGAAACCTTGGGAATATCCACTGAGAGCCACGGAGAGGCCGGGGAGAGACTCAGGGAATGCCGGGCTGACCACAGCCCGTGCGCCGCTCGCCCCGGCTCCCCAATGGGCATCCCGGGTTCATCCATCCAGGTGGCAACATGCACGGACACCCAGACGGCCCCAGGGCAAGGAGCTCCAGCCTCCCAGCCGCTCCACGGCACCTGCCCACAGGAATGCTTTTCATCTGCACCCAGGTCACAAGGAGGTGCCTGCCAGCATTCCCCCTGGGAGCGTGGACCACGGCCACAGGGGAGCCAACCAGCATCGCTCGGGTGTAGTAACCAGCTCACAGGCGTGAAACGAGGAAAGGGGGTGAAAATGGAGACACGTTTTGATTGGGAGGGGGAAAAAAAAAAGAAATCAGCTCTTTGTGCCACTTGGAGGTTAAGCACTGTATTGGAAGTGCAGGACAGATGGTGCTTCCCCATCCTGCTTTTAAACAGAAGGGCCCTTGGTTAAGAGCAGTGACGGACTTTGTCCTCAGCAAGATGGATTTGTTCCAGCTCTGTCATTGGGATGATCATGGAGACCACCTTTTAAGAGGGCT